AGGAGTCCCCAGGTCTTGCCATACTGCTGGCCAACCAGGTCTCCACCTGGGTTCACAGGAGTCTGTTGAACGTGGTAGGGCTTAGCTCACAACTTCGTTGCTGTTTCTTCTTCACTTCCCCTTATTGGTGACGAATGTGGTCACCAGTTAGAGCACATGTCTGCTCATGTATTCCCATTGAGTCTTAGTCTTGGAAGGGGATTTGCCCTGAGGGGAACCGACCACTTGCCTTGATGTCTCCTGGACAAGCAACTTGCTTGTTCTTGTAGTAGTCAGTCAGATTGCCGTTATTGTTTTGTATTTTTCCTATCGGTCTTTCATTCAAGAAGTATCTTCTGTTTTTCTAGCCCATCCAGCTGGTCTGCTTGTCCTTTTAAGTGGAAATTTCCCACCTCAGAAGATTCTGGATGGGGTTCAGGATTCCCCCTGTGGTCTTATGTATTGCAGAGGCTCCACAGGAAGCTTCCTTCACTGGGCTTGTTGTAGCCCCATTTTAGGTATTCCAATCAGTTATAGGCAGAAGATGGATTGACAAGCTTTCTATGGTGGTATTTCTGGCTATTCCCTTCTTTCCCCCTCAAGTTATCTATTCAGTAGACAACCAAGCATCTTAACATTGTTTCCCCCTTTAGCCCATTCCAACCATTGCATATGTTTTTAATGTTCATATTGCTTACCTTTTGACTCTTGTGTTTTTTGACATGCCCCAGTAATTCTGATAGTTTGTTCATTTTCTGAAACAAGATCTCCTAAGCTCCTCTTATACATTTAAGGTTTTAGTTTAAAGTTAACATTTCTGATTTCTTTCGTATATATAGGGTATCTATTTACTCAGTGTTGAATATCTTGTTTATGGTATTTACATATTTTCCCTCATGCTCTCTTTCTCTGTCTGGTGCCAAATAATTGGGATTATATAACTTACGAGTATTACTTCATTTTTTTATGCTTTGCCTTATTGCACTTTGCAGGTATTACATATTTTTACAAATAAAACTATGTGGCAACCTTGAGTCAAACAAGTCTGTTGATACCATTTTTCCAACAGCATCAGCTCAATTTGTATCTTTGTGTCTCATTTTGGTAATTTTCTTAGTATGTCAAACATTTTTTAAAATGCAGTCACTCAGTTAATATGGTGTTGTTGTTGTTGTTAAGTGCAGTCGAGTCGGTTCAGACTTACAGCGACCCTGTATAGAGTTTCCAAGGAGCAGCTGTTGCATTTGAACTGCCAGCCTTGTGATTCAAACTGCTCTTGAGGTCCAGTGCTTTATCTTACAGTGCCACACCAGGACTTCTCAGTTAACATGCTGTTGTTGTTGTTAGGTGATATTAAGTCGATTCCAACCCATAGCAACCCTGTATAGGGTTTCCAGGGGGCAGCTGGTGAGCTTGAACCACTGACCTTGCAGTTCAAACAACTTTCCAATCTGACGCATTAGCCCACAGCGCCACACCAGGACTCCTCTCGGTTAATATGTTGTTGTTATATGCCATTGAGTTGGTACCAACTCATACCGACCCTATGCATAACAGAACGAAACACAGCCTGATCCTGGGCCAATTCACAATTGT